TAGAGTAGGCCCACTGAAATGAATACAGAACACTTTTTACAAAATGTTGGCTAAAATCCTGTTGCTTAGTACACTAAGTTGCCCTAGAGTAGGCCCATTGAAATACAGTAATGGGGATTTGGGGAGTCAACTCCTCCATAAGTTCCATTCATTCAAATGGGCTTACTCTCTAGCTGTAGCTTATTATTCTAATATGAATCACAACTAGAGTAGACCCATTTGAAACAATGGAACATAGGTAAAGGTTTTCCTTGACATTTAGTCCAGTCATATCCAACTTTAGGCTCATCCCTGTTTCCAAGCCATAGAGCCAGCGCTTGTCCGAAGAGAGTTTCCATTGTCATGTGGCCAGCGTGACTAGGGAACGCCGTTTTACCTTCCCAGCGAGATGATACCTATTTATCTACTCACATTTACATGCTTTTGAACTGCTAGGTTGGCAGGAGCTGGGACAAGCGATGTGAGCTCACTCCATCACATGGATTCGATCTTACAACTGCTGGTCTTCCGATCTTGCAGCACAGAGGCTTCTGCAGTTTAACCAGCAGTGCCACCACATTCCCAGTGGAACTTACAGAGGAGTAAAAGTGCAAAGGTTACACTAAATGAATGACACTAAACCAATTAGGATCAATTTGGTAGTTACGGGTAATCTAACTACAAGTTCATGTGTTTATTTTTCCAGTTACTATCTCAGGAAGGGTGAGGAGAATGTGAGTAATGGTAGCCAGTCCAAGAGGCAAATCTTAATGCTGATGTTTTTAACCTGTCTCACTGTTGCATTGTGTGCTCTGCATCTTCCTTGCGATGCATCAAGCCAAATGCAACCCGCTACCCTTGTATATGGCTTTCTAAGATTTGCAAATATTTGATTCTCCCTCTGGAACATGGCATATGACCAGGTACACCTTGTAGTAATGGTCTGAATCCATACTGAAAGCAAAAAAGCATTCAATCTGAGGCTATCATACTTTAGACATATCATGGGAAGAGAAGACTCACTGGAAAAGACAGTAATGACAGGAAAAGTGGAAAGCAATAATAAAAGAAAAAGACTTAATATGAAATCGGGGTTGCAAGATCTGCACAGGGCTCTTAATGACAGGACCAGGAAAGAAGGAAAGACAGACTTGGAGAAAAAAAGGGCTAACCCAGCACCTGTGTCTTTCACAACAGACGAATCTACTGTATATAAATCAGTTCACTTTCTCCCACAATCAGATTTTTAAAAGTTCAAATTCTTTCTCACAGATATGTGACCATCAAAATCTGACAAATTCTTTATCAATACATGGAAACGTAATGTTCCTCCCTCTTTATCTGGCTATGCATTGAAAATGAGGAGTGTCTCAGCACAGGAGATTGTGCCCAGTGCTGGACAGCAACCTCTCAAATTTTGGGGCAAGGTATCTACCATGCTTTGCCCATGAGCCACGCTAGCCTCTCAGAAAGAAATGAGAGCTTTAATCCATGTACGATGGAAGACAAGGGGGGGGGATTCAAGCCCAGACTTTTGAAAGTTAAGCAACTGAAGTCATGGGTCTGATTGGACAAAGTGGCCAATCTCAGTTGGCAATCTCACCTTCTCTCGCACTGTTTTTAAAAATGTTAACTTGCATGATCTTCTCATTCCAAATAATAAGATACATTTGAAATTTGGAATGTTAAAATATTCCCTTTAAAAAGGAACCAAAATGAAATTCTTCCCCAATCTCTAGCAGCGAAGGTTTTTCACAAAACTGGAGATGGGTATTAAAACATGCTGATGTCTACAGACCAAGGTACAATTAAGGGTGGCCTGTAAAAAGAAACAACAACAACTGGGGAAGTATAGTCACAGACTGTGCACCTCTATTTTGCTTTATTCATTATGCTGCATGCAGTATACAGCAATGGTCTTCTATCCAGCATATTTTCCCAAACAGAGGTCTAAATGCAATATTTAAAAGGTTTCAAATATTTAAAATGTTGAAACAGTTAAGTGCTTGAAATATGCAATATTTAGAATATTTAATGCTTAGAAGAATATTTCGAGAATACAATAAGACTTATTTGTAGGTGCACGCCTGAAACAGTGACTGGTTGGTCCTTCCAGCCAACCTCAGCTCGGAAAAGACAGCTCTTCCAGCTTTGGAATATGAATCATGGTTTTTGGCACAGGGCCAGCCCTAGCCTTCGGCAGATTGAGGAAGATGACACTGGTGCTAACGTGGGATGTCATGCATGACTCAGTTTCCTAACGTTGCGTTTTTACAGCCGTGGAGCAGCAGAACTCCTTGTGCGGCTTCCTATCTCGGATAGCGACGTAGCGCTGTGCAACTTAACTTGAGGGGGCAAAGCCTGTATGTTGCTTCCCCCCAGCCAGCACTTTTATTTAATTATTGTTGATTAGTCCTATTTATGTTCCACTTTAAGGGACGTGGTGGCGCTGTCGCTGTGCAACTTAACTTGAGGGGGCAAAGTCTGCATGTTGCTTCCCCCCAGCCAGCAGTTTTATTTAATTATGGTTAATTAGTCCTATTTATGTTCCACTTTTCCTTTCATAAGCTCAGAGTGCTATACTTAGTTCTCCTCCTGCCCTGTTTGTCCATACAACTTGTGAGACACCTCAAATCAGCCAGTGTTCAGCTCAGTGACAACTAGAAACTGAATCTCTGTAGACTTAGTCCAACACCCTAACCATCTTGATACACGTGGGTCCAATATATGTATATGTTTATATTGGAAAGGAAGTCAAGAAAGCCATCCAAGGCCTGGCATGAGTACATGGCACTCTCACACAGACATAGGGTGTTCCTGGGCACATCACATGACACCAAGTCCATATCAGTTCATTGGTTCTGCACTGGGTTTTTAAACTTCACAATCCTGGATGATTTGGGACCTTGTTATTGAAAGGACAGTGAACACTACGATGAGCCTGGATGACTCCTATGAGTCTGGACTTGGATTGCCTCCTCTGTGACCCACTGGGAAGAATAACCAGATTGGAAGGTACTACAGGCAGGGTTTCTTCAGTGCTAGCTCCATGTCTTTGGAAATCTATTCCATAGGAATCATAAAGGAACATTGCTGTTTATTTTTTAAAAAATTGGCTTATGGCTGGTTGTTTTATAAAGGAACATTGCTGTTTATTTTTTAAAAATTGCCTTATGTCTTGCACTGGTGCTAATGTGGGATGTCATGCATGACTCAATTAATGCAAGCATTAATTTTGGTTTTATGCTGTTTTCAAATTTTGTCAGTTTCTGACCCTGGTTTTCAGACCTTGTTGCTCAAGGTAGCAAGAGCGAAAGATTTTTATGGATTTTTGTTAGATTCTTTGGGAGAGATCTATTGTAATGGGGCAAGTAAAATACACTACTCAGGCACAGGTCTGAGTAGCATGATTTGGATTATACATGATTTTTAAACACACACACACACACAAACACAAACACTGTGCATTTGGCCACCCAGAACCAGGGGCACACGTTCAACACTGAAGGTGTTGAAATAGTTTACTTGCCCCCAAACACAACATCTTTAATCCAGCCTCAAGATCTGGGAGTCATAATGATCTTTAAGGCTCATCACACATGGTACTGTATGGAAAGAATTATCAATGCTATGGAAAAGAATTCTGACAAAGAAAACTGTTCTCTCTCTGTGTATGTGTTAATCAGAGTTTAGTGTAGTTATGTTTTGGGGGGACATAAGAGTTGTGCATGGACTTTGAAGTTCCCAGCATTGTTGAAGGGAGAAGTGTACATTCAGTATGCAGAAGTAAATATTATTTCCATCATTTAGAAGTTATAACTATTTTCAATGGGACTTATTCCCGGTTAAGTCCACCTATGACAGTGCCCTGCCTTGAACATTTGTGGGCTTTATTTCTCAGCAGCGATACACAAAGTTAGGCTGAGATCAGTGGCATAGTGGAACTGGAGCTCACAACATCAAACCTCAGGGATTTTATTATTAGTAGTAGAGATTATGACATCACCTGCTACCTTTCCTTGGCCTCCCTCTTGCCTCTGGGTTCAGCTGCAATAACCTCTGTAACTTGGAAAGAAGAGTATACTGCTGCAGGCTATCCTTACTGTAATGCAAAGCATTTGAAAGTGGTCTGTTTTGATTAGGCAACCTAGAGCTATTAAGTTTACAAAACACCCCCCTTTTTCAATGGTTGATACTGTAAATGCACCTAGCCACCTGTCTGGAGTCTTCTTCCATCAGATGGCCCGGATTTTTCCTTATGGGACTGTCACCAAGGAGCATTTGCGTTCCTAAGGCCACCACTACTACACCACTGGCTGAGATGATGGATTAAGCTGGCGGTTTATAGCCCGTCTTGTAGGACGGGAGGAGGAACGTAGTAGCAACCACCGGGGAGGTGGGGGGGTCAGATTGGATTCAGCAGAGAAAGTATAGAGACACGTGTCTAGAGAGAAGCTCCTTTGCCACGCGGGGGCGTGGCCTCCAAAGGCGCAAGAGCCACGGGGGGCCACGGGCCACCCTTCCTCCTCCTCCTCCTCCTCCTCCTCTCCGGCGTCGGGAGGCGGAGGCGTGGCTGCGCCTCTATTACATATCCCCTTTTATGCACATGCTTATGGAAATAAATGGTTTGCAACAGGGTTCTAATGAAGTCAGGAATGAAGTTATTACATTGTCCAATACCTTGGTATATCTTTGAAACAAAACAAACTAAAACAACAACAACAACAACAAAATGCTTTTTCCATCTGATGACCAAGGCAAAATGAAACACTGACTGTGGTAAATGGTTTTTATTCCCTACTGCATTTTAAAAGATGGAGAAGATGTATTCCTTACCAAAGAAATCCTGATTGTTCCATATTAAATGTTAGTATTTCATGTGTACTGTTGTATATTGGCAAGGATTTTATGTGAAAGATTAAAGTGATTTGAGCATCTAATATGTACCTATTGATTTCTTAATGAGAAAAAAAATCCAAGTTTATCCTCTCGAAAAAAACATCAGCTGGCTCCGGGCAGACGCCGCCGCCGCCGCCCCCCCGCCGCCTCGCGATGAAGCGGCAGAACCTCCGCACGCTCTCGCTGATCGTCTGCGTGTTCTCCTACCTGCTGGTGGGCGCCGCCGTCTTCGATGCCCTCGAGTCCGAGGCCGAGACGGGCCACCGGGGCCTCCTGGAGCAGAAGCGCAGCGACCTCCGAAGGAAGTACCGCTTCACCGCCGAGGACTACCGGGAGTTCGAGCGGCTGGTGCTGCGGGCCGAGCCGCATCGAGCCGGCAGGCAGTGGAGATTCGCCGGCTCCTTCTATTTCGCCATCACGGTCATCACCACCATCGGTAAGTGCCGGGGCCGGGGCGGGGGGGGGTGAGTTCAGGAGGCCGGGCAGGGCAAGAGTCCCCCCCCCTCCACTGGCCAAATTCCAGCCCCGAGCCAGTTAGGATTGCCTTTAAAACAACCAGCGCTAGGTGTGCCGGACGATGCTCTCTGGGCTAAGTAGAGCTGAAAGCAAATTAACGGACGGCTGTTTGAAGCAGACTTCTTAAGGTTTGCGAAACCACTCTTCGAAGGAATCTCATGGTTTGATCCGGAAGACCTGTCACCAAAAGCAAGCAAGCTACTCTACATAATCCTGGAGATGAAAGAAACCGGCGCTGTGACACTCAGAGGCTCGCATCAGTTAGAATTTCATTAGAATTGCATTAGTGAGAATTAGTTGCATTACTTAGAATTTCCAATCACTGGCAATCTCTATCGTCTGTTTCTGGGCAGGTGTGGATTGACTTGAGGTGTGCCTGGTCTACCTGTCTCCTCTGCCTCCGTTAGGTCTTAGTAGAATTACAGTGACCTGCAATGCATATTCAGTCTACACAAAGTCAAGGTTTTTGTTGTTGTCCATATATGCAGTCAAGTTCCTCTGATGAGTGAGAGATTTCCAAAGTGTATTGTCCTTAACAGCCATGCTCAAACTTTGTAAAGTCAAGACTGTGGCTTCCTTTAAGGAATCAATCCATCTCATATTTGGCCTTCCTCTTTTTTTTTCCTGCCCTCAACCTTTCCTAGCCCTTTTCCATTGTTTTTTCCATTGAATCTTCCCTTCCCGTGATGTGCCCAAAGTAGGATGGCCTCAGTTTCAAAGATAGTTCATTTGATCCTAGGACCCATTTATATGTCTTTCTAGCAGCCTAGGTTATCCAGAAAGCTCTCTTCCAGCACCATATTTGGAATAAATCAGCTTTTTTCCTGTCGGCTTTCTTTAGTATCCAGATTTTACTGTCTTCATAATGATCTGGAATACAATAATGTGGGTGATCTTGGACTTTTTCCTCCAGTGACACATCCTTAATGCTTGATGATCCTTTCACATTCTTTCATTCCTGCCCTTCCAAGTCTCAGTGTTCTTCTGATTTCTTGGCTGCCATCTCCATTTGGACTGATGACTGAACCAAAATCTTTAACAAGTTCAGTGTCTTCATTGTCAACATTAAATTGTACAGTTCTTCTATCATGAGTTTTTTTTTTGTCTTTTTAATGTTCAGCTGGAGTCCTGCTTTGGCACTTTCTTCATTCATCAAAGGTTGTTTGAAGTCATTGCTGCTTTCTGTCAGTAAGATGATGTCATCTGCATATCTTAAATTATTGATGTTTCTTCCACCAATTTCCACTCTTTCATCTAAATTGGTCCTGCTTGCCATATCATTATGATCTGTACACAGAGTGAATAGCTAGGGAGATTAAATGCACCCTTATCGGACACATTTTGCCTATAGTAAACCATTCTCTCTCTACATACTCTGTCCTAATGGTTGTGTATCCAGACAATGAAGTGATGAGCCGCACATATTTCTTTCAGAACGATCCATAGTGTCCATGATCCACGCAGGCAAAGACTTTGCTGTAGTCTATAAAGCATAAATTAATGTTCTTCTGATAATCTTCGGTGCACTCCAGTAGCCAGCAAGTATTTGCAATGTGATCTCAAGTGCCTCTTCCTTTTCAGAATTTTGCTTGGACACCAGACATTTTTCACTCCATATTAAGTAAAAGCCTTTGTTGTAACACTTTGAACATCACTTTGCTTGGATAAGAAATTAAAACAATGGTCCTATAGTTACTGCACTCCTTGGCATCTCTTTTCTTGGGAATTGGAATGTATATTGGATATTTCCAGTCCATGGACCGTTGTTTTATTTTCCATATTTGTTGATATATTCTTGTTAGGATTTTGACAGATTCAGTCTCTTGAAATAACTTTATCGGCATTTCATCTACCCCATGTGATTTATTTCTTCCCCGTGTTTTCAGAGCAGCGTTCACTTCACTTTCTAGAATTGCAGGTTCTTCCTCAGAAGATTCCAGCCTTTTCTTTCTTCTGTTCTTTATGTGAGTTTTAATTAATCAGAAATGTTGCTTAAAACTATATTCTGTCACCAGGATTCTTTTTTTTTTAACTCTAAAGTTAACAATTCATGATCAGTAAGTCTGCTCCTGGTCTTGTTTTGGAAAAGGGAATACAATTTTTCCATCTCCTGCTTTAATTATGGTGATGTCTATGTGAACGTAGTCTGTTTGGTTGCTTGAAACATTGATTTGCAATAACAGATCATCGGCTTCTCAGAACTCTACTAATCATTTTCCTGCTTCATTTTTGACTCCTATACCAAATATTCCAGCAACATTTGATTCTGTTTTGTTTCCTACTTTTGTGTTCCATTCACCCCTGTTTTTAAGTATGTTTTCATGTATGATCAATTTCCTCCTGCTTGCTTGCATAAAAGCTTTCAGATTCATCTTCTTCAGCATCTGTAGTTGGAGCATAGATGAATGATGATTATATTAATATATATTTCCAGATATATGATGGATATTATTCAGTAAGATTTTGTATTCTAGCCCCTAGCTGCTTGTGCTGCAGCTTGCCTCAGTATTAGAGCCATAAGTTTGGCATTTCCAGAATAAAACAATTTGTACTTGTCTGACTAAAAAATGTCCAATTCTGGTCCTCGTTGCGTATCAAATCCTTCAAGCCACACAAGAAGCTACTGATGCCGCTCCTCCTCCTCCCTCAGTATCATCTTCCCTGATGAAGAGTTCTGAAGTACTCAGAAGCTTACATACTTTGGTGACATTATGGTGAGTCTGAAAAAAAGGTGTTACCCAATTTAGGTAACTCCGACTAATATGGCTCTTAAAAACAAAAATTAGGATGTGGTAGCTTTTCATTGCCATCTTGAGATGTCAGCATGAGTTGCCACTGCCTTATTCAATCTCTTCCAAGTTCGATTCTCACCTCATGAGTTTGATATACGTTAAAGTAACTGGCCACTTACCACCTTGGATCTTATCGTAAGCAGTGAGCTACCTGTGTGTTCGTGTCTGGCACTTAAGGACCAGTGATCTGCCTCCTGCCAAGTTTGCTTGCTTTATGGCATAGGGTGGGGTGCACAACATTGGCAGGTTTGGGGGACTACTTTCTGCCCCCTCCCCCGTCCTCATGCACCACCAGAAATGCTGGAAGTGGAAGAAACTACAAATGGCTGTTTTTGTTTTGAAAAATGACTGTTTTTTGTTACTAAACGGCAATTTCTTCTGCAATTTACTTAGGTGAATCACTGCTCCTCGTGGTTTCCAGGAGCAACAGGTCACTTTGTTTTTGCTGGGGAAATTATTTTGTTGTTGCTGTTGATGTTGGTAAATCCAATTCCAGAGAAATCTGGTGCTGTCAAACAGCCTTGAGGGGTGTCAGATGTGGGCCATGCATTGCCTACTCTGACTGCAGTGTACCAAGTATGAAGACTGATAATAAACAGATGTTCATGGAAAAGAGCAAAGTATCAGCAGAAGGTTACTTCTGTTCTGTATGTGCTGCCTCACTAGTGTTGTTGAATTGTTTTTAAATTTGTAAACCGCCCAGAGTAGACCTTTGGTCTAGATGGGCGGGATAGAAATCCAACAAACAAACAAACATCTGGTAACCGTTGCAGATTCTAGCATCCCTGGAACAAGTATGTGAAATTCTAGATTCTGTGTTTTAAAGATCAGGCGAAAGTTGTTTTAGCAGAAACCTTCCCAGTTTTGTGCTTTAAAAGAAAAAGGATTTTAAAAAATACCAAAGGATAGTTCAATAAAAACGTATCCCCTTGCCCTACTATATAAAAATAATTGCCTAATTTTCAGCAAATAGAACGCCCTTTCATAGTTGTGTCCAGGCCACACATCTGTAACTGCTTTTTCTTTCTGCACAGACAGTTGGCACAAGTACAGTAATCCATATTTGCACAAAAGAAAAGGGAAACCAGCACTAGCAAGTGGAAGTTGTGGGGTTTGGGGCAACTTAGATGACTTTGCACTTTACAGAACTCAGGGTCACTTGACGTAGCTAGTGGATACACCAAGCTGTTGTCCTCAAGCTGGTGCATCTGTTATTCACCCACAAAGTGTGTTTTGACTCTCTTTGCTTTTATCAGCATGCAGCCTTTTGTCTTCTTGCTGGTCATTTTCCAGTGTAAGAAACTGGGATCCAGAGACAGCTTTGCCATGAATCAAAGTGGGTGACTTTAGCAGAAATAGAATATCACAATAATTTATCTGACAGATTGTTAATCAGAACATGGACCTCTTCCTTGTTTGAACTACAATTCCAAGGATCCCCCGGTCAACATAGCCAGTACTATTCTGACCACTGCTTGTGATGGCTTCAATCAGTGGTTCCCAACCTTGGGTGCCCAGATGTTCTTGGACTAAAACTCCCAGAAGCCTTCACCACTAGCTGTGCTGGCCAGGATTTCTGGGAGTTGTAGTCCAAGAAGATTTGGGTACCCAAGGCTAGGAACCATTGGAAGAATGGGAAGCAGTCAGTATGGACAATTCTTATAATGGATCTGGTATTGGGTCCAGCACTTTTAAACTGATTTGTAAATGATCTGGAGGGCTGAGCGGAAGGGAGCCCCATTTGAAGATAGTGTCCAGTCATTCAGGATGATAAAAACAAATAGATCAGAAAGAGCTTAACAGGCATCTGTCTAAACTAGATAGAGACACAATAAAACAACACAGTCTTGTTGCTGCTGCTGCTATATACCAGCCATTCCAAGACTTAGGTCCCCAAATGTCCTTCGACTAAAACTCCCAGAAGCTTTCACCACCAGCTGTGCTGGCCACGGTTTCTGGGAGTTGCTGTCCAGCAATATCTGAGTTACCCAGGGGAATAAAAAAAATTGGATTAAAAATTAATTGCTATTAAACAAATGTCAGATTAGACCTTAAACCCATAGTCCAGTAACTCGGAGGATCAAGAATAATAAGAGATTGCCACTGTTTATTTTTCAGATTTTTGATCAGCTTTTTTTTAGTGCCCAGCTATATGTTACAGATAATCTGTCATAGCATAATTCCTCAAGAGTTGATTGTGTGTAATTGAAACAGTGGCAGTTTTTCTTACCTGTTGCACGTTAGCACATTAGCTTGTATTGTTCTGATCTGGTTTTCAGGATATTAGTGTGTTCTTTTTCCACCAGTCTGACTTCTCAGACATGAAAGACTGCCTGAATCACATCTCTTGAACACCAACATGTTTCAAACTCTAATTATAGGTTGTTGTTTTTTGTAATATCTAGCATGGACCCAAATGTTTGGAGCTAAGTCATTCAGTGTGTGTAGAATGTTTAAGAACTAAATAAACACAGTTCTGATTTGTTTTCCAGCTGTCTCCCATGGTGAGAATCTCTGGATTATTACCAACTCTGAGATCTCCTTAGGATCAAAGCTTTAATGAAATGTGTTTGGATCTCCTTAAATCAACCAAAGAGTCTTGCATGTTGTAAACAGGCTTGGAATGGTAGAGTCTCTGCTGGCTGTTTCTGAAATCCAGCTTTTGATAAATGGTGTGCTCATACTGGTTACAGAAAACAACAGAGCAATTCTATTCTATCAAATGAAGTATTCCTCTATGTATGTCAGGATCACAAAGCTTTCTGTTAGCTAAACTGTGTTCATGGAGGATGATAGCTTGACTGTTTACAGCTTGCTGCAGCTGCATGAATATGATATCCTTCACTTTGAAAAGAAGACTCAAGAAATTTGAGATTTAAAGTATTTAAAATGTAAAGCTCTTGAATGTCAGTCCTGTCATCTCAGATTTCTGTATGGCTTGGCTTACCTTACTTATTGGGGTTTTGTCTCAGACCATGTTGGTGTGTGTCAAAAGTAATAGTGAATAGCCAAAGTTTACAAATTGTTCACCGCCTGATCCTGGCATCATACAGAAGTAACCTCATTGGATGCTATGAAAAGAAGGTGAAAATAAGCAGCTGTGGCATCTGCTAAAAGACAGGGCAATGCCTGCTTGAGAACCTGTATGATATAGCAAATACAGCATTGAACCTGGATATGTATTTTTTCAAATTATGTCTTGCATGGTTCACCTGGAGGCCAACTATTTGCTATGGGATTCCTGCAGGGAAAGAGGAATGCATGCAAGTATGGACCACTAAGTGACCGTTGAGAAGCGATACTTGCAGCTTTGTATTTGGTCTTCCACTAATTCATTTTGTGGGGAGCATCTTAGTTGCAGCCATCTGGCCTATTCAAGAATGTTAGGCCTTCTTAGAAAGGCAAAAGCCTTTGCCGACGGTACTGCGGCTTTGTCAGTGGGCATAAAAAACTTCTGTACTTGCTTTCTAAGTATGTCATACCAAGAGAAAGGCAGGAGTAGTGACCCTGCTCTGCATTTGATAATGATACAGTTTTCAAAAGTGGGTTGTGATTGGGGTGCACAGTCGGAATGATTTATTGCTCTGACATGTTTCAAGTCCAGTGATTTGTTTTCTGACCAATTGGTGTAATTTATTCAGAGGACTGTCAAAATGGTCTTCCACTTAATCTCAGATGACCATAACCTACAGCAAAAGAAGTGGAATAACATGTGGAAAACTTGTGTGAGTTATCCTTTGAATGAATTAAGCCAGTCAGCCCTGAAGAAAAATCACTGGATTTGAAATTTGTTGAACCAGTAAATTATGCCTAAGTACTCCTTTGAAGTCTTATCTCTTAAGTTTGCTTTGCTGCTCTTACTCCTTTTCATCCCTGTACCATTTATGGTCTCAGGCTCCGAGTCAGCCTTTCCAAACTTTGAGTCTCTAAAAGATGATGTACTATAAGAGCAGCATCTGGAAACCCAAGGTTGAGAAAGCATGCTCCAAATTCTCTTTTCCCTCCCTAAATACTTTCCTGAGTGAGAGACTGTATTCCCCCCCACCCCCATAGTGCACTGTGCTGTACAAAGTCAAGCAGTGTAAGCTGGAGGAACATCCAGTTCTTAAGAGCAAGAATATCATGCATCACTTGTCACCTTGTGTCTCCTTAGAACAATATGGTGGCCAAAAATGGACTTGGCTTTGCGAGGCCTTCATACTTGGTCCCTTCCCCCCCTTCTTAAAAAATGCAGTGTAGTTAATGCTTATTTCCTCTCTTTCCACTTCGCTGTCCTCTGTCTATTACTTTCTTTTGCTGTAGGTTACGGCCATGCTGCTCCCGGAACTGATGCTGGCAAAGTTTTCTGCATGTTCTATGCGATCCTGGGCATTCCCCTCACCCTGGTTATGTTCCAGAGCCTTGGTGAGCGCATGAACATTCTAGTCCGGATGGTCCTGAAGAAAATCAAGAAGTGTTTGGGAATGAGGCAGACTGTGGTCTCCATGAAGAACATGGTTGTGGTGGGCTTCCTCTCCTGCATGGGGACCCTGTGCATTGGAGCAGCGGCCTTCTCCTATTTTGAAGGATGGACTTTCTTCCATGCTTTCTATTATTGCTTCATAACCTTGACCACCATTGGGTTTGGAGACTTCGTAGCACTGCAGAAGCATGAAGCTTTGCAAAAGAAGCCCCCTTACGTTGCATTTAGCTTCATGTACATTCTGGTGGGTTTGACGGTGATCGGGGCGTTCCTTAACCTGGTGGTCTTTAGGTTTTTGATTATGAACTCGGAAGACGAGAGGCGGGATGAAGAAGAGAGGGCGTCTTTGAGGAGAGCCAAGAATTACATCAACCTGAAACCGAGGGAAGAGAATGATACCAACAGGAATGAAATCCTGCTTCCTGTAGAGGACCGCACCAGTCAAATGAATCTCATCCCTTTGATCCCAGAAGATGCAGAGAGGCAAAGAGGGAAGTTGTCAAACTCTGCCACGAGAGTTCCTTCTTTCTGCACGTGTCTTTGTTACAGGCCACGAATGAACAGAAGCCCAGATCCTCCTCACTCAGAGGCTTTCAACTGTCATACAAATCTGGTTTATTATAATTCCATTTCTTACAAAATCATGGAAGTCTCCCTGGGTGGTAAAGACCACACTGCTCTGTCTTCCCCCAGGAGCACTCTGTCCTCCAATAGTCCTAACTGTCGGGAGCATTCCCGACGCAGGAGGAAGTCTATCTGAAACATGCATGCTCTTTTTGGACTTTTTTTTAAAAATCTCTGAGCTGGGTTCTGCTACTGAAGTTGTCTTCTGATGATAAATGATCAACTGAATTGTCAGCATGTTGTGATTGTCTTTCTTTCATGATTTTCCTTTTTCTTTGCAGGCGCATGTTGAAAATGGCTACTGACCGGCCAACTCTGTAACACATTGCCTGACCCACACTTTTTAAATAACCACGGATGAATAATGCACATTCTCCCACCCGCATGTGTCACAATGTTTACATTTAGAAGCCAAACACCCTGGGCGTTTGAATAATAGAACTCCATGCTGCAGTAAAGTTGCCATGTCATCTGTAGAAATCTTCAGTTATTCCCTTGGAGGAAAAAATAATGTAGCTAATGCTCAGTTACGTCATGGCTGCCTGTTTCCCTGGCTTGTTCTGCTGTGCCTCCCACGCTGTGGGAGTGTACAAACAATCCTTCCACGCAGGGTGGGTGAAGTTCAAGTTTATAGGGATATATTTGGAATTTTTTCTAGATCAGTGGTTTCCAACCCTGGTTCCCCAGATGTTCTTGGATTATAGCTTTCAGAAATTAGTCTAAGAACACCTGGAGACCCAAGGCTGGGAACCACTGTTCTAGACGATCCACCAAACTGGGGCAGTAGGTATCCACATAGAATTGAATGATGCTGAGACTAGGGATTCATTTTATCATTCCCTCCACAAGGGGCATCATTCCCACTTTGTTACTCAAAGTATTCCTCATTTCAGCAGTGTGATTTAGGGCAGAGACAGGCAGCTGTCCTCCTCCCCATGTTTCTGAACTACAAGACCCATAATCCCTCATTATTGGCTATGCTGGCAAGGGCAGATAAGAGTTAGAAGCTAAAAATATTTGAAGGGTCATGGTTGCTCACTCCTAATTTTGGGGATGAAAGAGTCCTGTAGTTGCTGCTCTTGATAAATAGTTGGGAATGAGAAACTTTTGCTGCTGTCTTGCAAATCAAGAAAAAAATACACCAGTTAAGCCAGATTTATCTTTTGCCTACATCCTTTGATGCCTTACCTTTTCTTCCTGTTGTAGGGTGAGTTCTGCTCTCCCAAACACGCATCCACCTTCACTTCTATAATAACACACACACTGAATTCAGAGATAGATTTGGTTATGAGTATGTATGTATGTGTAATGCAGGCACACATTTAGATTTTTAATAAACATGTTCAGGCTACTGCTCTGTTTTTCTGATTAAATAGAAAAAAACACAATGTTCTTAATACACACACACACACCCATTGAAATGTTAACTCAGGCATAAGGGAAGTGGAGTGGCTTTCTGTACTAGCCACAAGAGGCCAACAGCCGATCAGCGCCCTGCTGAGTCAGCTGTTGGGGAGGTGGTGGTGCACCAGCCAGCCAGCGTCCTGTGCAGCCTGTTTCTAGTGAAAACCAACAGGGCAAATTGTGCTTGAGTTGAATTCTTAGAGGGAGGCTATATGGCTATATTATATCCTTGGGCAGAAAAGGCCCAACTGGAGGTCCTGAATTAGCAGACTCCTCAAATTTTGGAGAGGTACTTTTAAAGATGCTTTCAAAGTGCAGTTAGAATCTAAAAAGAAGCCAGGACAATATATTTTTTTCCTCATTGTGCAGTGTTGCTCATTTTAAACAAGGTTTGGGGCAGAAGCGTGGTGTTTAGAGACTAGAAGAATTCTATTAAAAAACAACAACAGTGGGGCCTTTCCAAGTCATGGGAAGTCAGTAGTGCGATACCAGTTTGCCCAGCCAACTGTCACAAGCAGAAGTGATCTAATGAAATACGTTGTTCAGCCTAGCAGCTGCCTACCAGCTGTCCCAATCTTCCCTCCCCTCAGTATCTTATTCCCTCAGGTCTTGTCACTCTCACAGCTATTCCACCCACCAATCTTAGCCCCTTTAGAATGAGGAGAGGCAGGTATGATTGAGCTGGATACCAGTTTGCCCAGCCAACTGTCACAAGCAGAAGTGATCTAATGAAATACGTTGTTCAGCCTAGCAGCTGCCTACCAGCTGTCCCAATCTTCCCTCCCCTCAGTATCTTATTCCCTCAGGTCTTGTCACTCTCACAGCTATTCCACCCACCAATCTTAGCCCCTTTAGAATGAGGAGAGGCAGGTATGATTGAGCTGCTGGCAATTACTGTGTGTCTTTGGTTACTTGTTTCCCCCCCNNNAACATTTCCCCTTTCCTGCTGTCCTGAGAAAGCACCAAAGAAGACTTTTCTTTCATGTTCGGTCAAAGTACACGCTTCTAGTGCACTGGAAAGTCGGACCGATGTTTGCAGAGCAGGGTTGGTCAACACATGTCCCTTGTCTATGCAGGCTTCTGTTTTATGATCCCCACTACCATTAGTACTACAGCTGCCCCCCCCCCCAAAAAAGAGAAAAAGCCACATTTTGCTTCTAAGAACAAGATACATGCCATATACTTAAAGCAATGTGTGCTTCTCCTTTTTAAACTGCCACTATGGCACCAGACTTGTGCGGCTAGGGAGTGGCGAATTGGCCAACAGCAAATGTGAGCTCTCTGCTCCGGGAGATTTTCTGAGGAATGGCTGCAATATACCAGTCCCTACTCTTAAAGAGTGCTATTGATTACATTGGCAATGAACCCTGGTGTTGTGTTTTGCAGCCTACAGCATTTATGGTCTCAAAGGATCCCTGATCTCTTGTATTTTAGTCCAGATCAGCAGATACATGCAAATATTGGAAGTTTATTCCCATCTGCTGGAATTGCTGGGCCCAGAAATCTCTGAGATCATGTATCTACAGCAAATGAAAAATTGCAGGGCTTCACATCATGGAAACTAAGCCACATTTTCTCATAAGAGGTGGATGAACATCATGACATTTTGCTCTCCCATTTAAAAATTAACTCAAGTTCTCTCTGGTGAATCTATGAATCAATTCACAAGTTTCTCACACACATGCACACGTGCATGCACATACACATTTTTGTAAATTTTCATTTAAAGTTTCACTGCACAAAGAATGGACCCTGGATATTAACATAGAGTTCAGGGGACCCAGCTAAGTGCCCCACATCTGGGGGTCCACTCAGACATGGGGCAAATCTTTTACTGGTGATGGTAGCACAGATCTGGGGGGGACCCACTTGACAAAGCAGCCAGAGGCAAAGTGTCCAGCTCCCCCACAGTACAGGCAGATCTTCTGTGAACGGCGTCATGTTTTTTCCTCGGGTGAGGCGTGGCCGAGCAGCCCCTAACTGCTTGGGCTCAAAGTCCTCTTGTCCAGTGCTAGCAGGCGTCGGGAGTGGCTGTGAGGGACGGGAACAGCCCCGTACTAGGCGTCAACTCTTTAGGCGACCATCAATGTGAAGGCACAGTGTGATTAGTTCTTGCAGTGTATTGAGTCGGTCTACATGTGCCAGCTCATCCAGGATATCATCGGCCAGCCCCTCCATATATTGATCCATGAGAGCTGCCTCGTTCTACAGCAATTCTTGGGCCAAGAGTCTGAACTCAGTGGAGTACTGGGAAACTGAACCCTTACCCTGTTTCAGGGTCCGAACCTGTTGGCAGTAGCAGCTTGCAAGGGACTAGCAAAGGCGACTGAAATATGGTCCAAAAAGCCCTGGTAATTGGTTAACAGGTGATGGAGCAAGGAGTAGAGGAGTGGCCCATTTAGCTGCCTGTCCCTTGAGAAGGCTGACTATGAAGCAGACCTTGGTTTTATCTGTAGGAAAGTCTCTGGCACACAGTTCAATATACAGTTTACACTGTGCCAGGAATGCTGGAAACTCCTCTACCTTTCCTCCAAACTTTTCTGGAGGAAGCACAGGGCACTTCACCTGGGCAGTAGCGTTGGCCTGAGATTGCAGTTGTTGCTGCTGAAGCTGTGCCACTGTTTGTGTAAGAAACTGCACCTGAGTAAGCACAGCATGCAGCTGACCTTTGCTTGCCTCCCCCTCCATCTTATGGAGAGAGTGTGGGGGTGGAAACAGTCTGTCACATTTCTGGGGGTTTTAACAGGCAAAAGTCCAGTAAACCAGTCCAATATCAGAAGTCCACTAGATGCAAAGCAGATACCAAAATGCCAGAGCCAAAACACAAACTGTAGTCAGAAGTCAGAGTCCAAAGCCAAGGGTCCAGGAAACAAGGTCCAAGATGAGCAGGAGCGTAGATGCGATCCAGAGAAGTTGACTTGTTGCTTCCACAAAATTGCAAGCCTCTGGGTAGAGATTTTATAGCAACAGCACTCTGGCTACTGGGGGAGAAGAATCTGGTGGTGATTCAGCTGTCTGCAATTCTGATTGCCCAGCATTCTCCTCAGCTGTAATTAACCCCTCAGATTCCAGATCTTTTTCGCTAGAACTCATGACACTCCTTGGTTTTCCTGAAAGTTCTTTACACTTCTCTTTTCATCTGGTGCCAGGTTCTTAATACTGTATTCTACTTCTTCCCTGCAGCTAGAAAGCTAGCCGTAGCTCCTTCACAATGAAAGTGTGGATTCAGCCTCTTGTTTTCTCTGTTACAGGAAAACTTTCAATAATGATGCTGTAAGCAAGAGTAGTACATCTAAGGTAAATTAGCTCTAACAGTGTTGCAGTATAGGATACATGGACCTTTTCCAAGTCTCCTTGCTTCCTCTTCCACGTTACTTTATCCATTGTGGTATGCGATGTGGTGGCATTTGTCTCTCCACTCCTGTTTTGCATCACTGGCTGATGGGGTGAAGAACATGGAGGATGATCATGTCATATTCTGTGGTGTTCTAGTAGGCTTCGTAAGATAAGAGTGACACAGAGAAAATGTAGGAGGTTGTGTCTAGTTCTGTCCTTAGAATTGATTCATCCAGCCATCCTTTTGACCATTTTTCATCTTAGTTCTGTTTTATGGTCATTTAACAGGTTGGTTGCCCTGACCTCATGGATATGCTTTTGAGCAAAGGGACATCTTATTAGACTTTCACAAGCAATAGTTGGGCACTTAAGTTACTCCAGGCTAATTTGGCTAGTGTTTTTGTACAGGGGCTGGGCCTAATAACAAGGGATAAATACACCAGGACTTCTGCATCTGCAGTTGTTTGAAAGAGCAGATTTCAGCATCTACACCT